GCAGTTTCTATGAGGGCCCCATATGGTTTTGCCCATGTGGGCTAAAAGTGGGTTTTGAATGGGTTCCATGTGGGCCCAAAGTGGGTTAAAACCATAAGGCCCACTTGGGCCCCATATGCCCACATGGGTAACAGGTGGGTTTGTCCGCAGTTTCCATGAGGGCCCCATATGGTTTTGCCCATGTGGGCTAAAAGTGGGTTTTGAATGGGTTCCATGGGCCCAGTGGTAAACATAGGCCCACTTGGGCCCACAGGTACAAGTGGGTTTGTGCGTTCTGGGCCCCAATAAGGCCCACTTGGGCCCCATATGCCCACATGGGTAACAAGTGGGTTTGTCCGCGTTTCCATGAGGGCCCCATATGGTTTTGCCCATGTGGGCTAAAATTGGGTTTTGAATGGGTTCCATGTGGGCCCAAAGTGGGTTAAAACCATAAGGCCCACTTGGGCCCCATATGCCCACATGGGTAACAGGTGTGGGTTTGTCCGCAGTTTCCATGAGGGCCCCATATGGTTTTGCCCATGTGGGCTAAAATGGGTTTTGAATGGGTTCCATGTGGGCCCAAAGTGGGTTAAAACCATAAGGCCCACTTGGGCCCCATATGCCCACATGGGTAATCAAGTGGGTTTGTCCGCGGTTTCCATGAGGGCCCCATATGGTTTTGCCCATGTGGGCTAAAAGTGGGTTTTGAATGGGTTCCATGTGGGTTAAAACCATAAGGCCCACTTGGGCCCCATATGCCCACATGGGTAACAAGTGGGTTTGTCCGCAGTTTTCATGAGGGCCCCATATGGTTTTGCCCATGTGGGCTAAAAGTGGGTTTTGAATGGGTTCCATGTGGGTTAAAACCATAAGGCCCACTTGGGCCCCATATGCCCACATGGGTAACAAGTGGGTTTGTCCGCGGTTTCCATGAGGGCCCCATATGGTTTTGCCCATGTGGGCTAAAATTGGGTTTTGAATGGGTTCCATGTGGGCCCAAAGTGGGTTAAAACCATAAGGCCCACTTGGGCCCCATATGCCCACATGGGTAACAAATGGGTTTGTCCGCGGTTTCCATGAGGGCCCCATTTGGTTAAGCCCATGTGGGCTAAAAGTGGGGTTTGAATGGGTTCCATGTGGGTCCAAAGTGGGTTTAAACCCTAAGGCCCACTTGGGCCCCATATGCCCACATGGGTAACAAATGGGTTTGTCCGCGGTTTCCATGAGGGCCCCATTTGGTTAAGCCGATGTGGGCTAAAAGTGGGGTTTGAATGGGTTCCATGTGGGCCCAAAGTGGGTTAAAACCATAAGGCCCACTTGGGCCCCATATGCCCACATGGGTAACAAATGGTTTTGTCCGCGGTTTCCATGTGGGCCCCATTTGGTTAAGCCCATGTGGGCTAAAAGTGGGGTTTGAATGGGTTCCATGTGGGTCCAAAGTGGGTAAAAACCTTAAGGCCCACATGGGCCCCATATGCCTACATGGGTACATGCCTACAATTATCCAGTAGTTTAATTTCCTGAATCTATGATGAACGATATACAATGTGGGCCCTATCAGACCAGACGCTAGTGGTTCAAAACACAGGTCCTGATGTGTTTTTGATGAGAACATTGTAACAACCTTTAAAAATAGTTTCAATTCCTCCAGGATTTTGCAGGTATTGTTTGTGATTGTTGGGGGCTAAAAACATGTTTCCAAAAGATGAAAGGTTCAGCTTAAACATAATTGTACATGAAGACACATTTCTTTGAATTCTACTGAAATTATACCAAAGAGGCCAAGGGTAATAAGAAAATAACTTTTATTTGGGCTGGGACGAAATATATGATCGGATTTGGATTGCGTACTTTTTGCTGCAATACCAATACTTTCAAGTATTACAATACTTGTGTTTGTCTTCTAGTAACAGTTACACAGCACCTTGTTACATATTGTGTCAATGCACTTTTCAGTCTTAGCACTTCAATGAATGTCAAATGTCATTTCGGATCGCCCCCGAGTATCATGATACGTATCGAATCATGACAAAAGTGTATCGTCCCAGGCCAACTGAAAGAGAGTTATGATGACAAAATCGTAAAATCCTGGAGGGACTAACAAAAGGCCAGCGAACAAACAATTGCCAATCATATTTACAATAAAACCTGCTTTATTGTATCTGCAGTTCTCCTCAGACGCGAGGCGCAGACTGCACAAAATAAAAGAAAACACAAATCCTCATGGTCTCTGTCTCCATACACATACAGCTCGCAGTCTCCTCCTCAGACACTAGGCGCAGACTGAGCACAGTATACAGTACAGACCAAAAAAATACAACAATTTCACCAACAATAACAATATTGCGTTGCACATACCTGCACAAAATAAAAGAAAACACAAATCCTGTGTATGTAACCATACACATACAGCTCGCAGTCCCCTGTTAGTAGCAAACACATGGAAAATTTAAGCTAGCTCTCACATGTGACTACATAAACTACTACTACTGACTCAAAACATGTATTCATATGGCTCTGACCTACATTTGGATTTGAAAGAACATAAATAACATTTTAATTTGGATATAAAAATAAGCTTTCTAATTATTGAAACCGAATCATGACAAGTGAAAAATGTGACCCACCTCCTCAGACGCTAGGCGCAGACTGAGGGCGGCACTAGGGTGCAGCAAACGAAACACCTTTCTCTTAAAGGGACAGTGCAGGATAATGTGCAACTTGAATGGGAACATACAAAAAGGGCTAAAAATGTGCCATAAACATTAGGATAGAAATAAAATAACAGGATTTGGTGAAGTTCAAACAATAAAAAATAAAGTACATTTTCCAATGGTTACACAGGCTTAACATGTCATTTTGCATGCAATGAGTCTATATATCTAGTTTCACATTTTAAGTTGAATTACAAAAAATAAATTAACTTTTTTACTAAACTGCGCTTCGTGCTCTAAAATAATGAAATGCATGCACATATTTTATTGAGCTGCAGACAGTCAAAGTAAAAGTAAAAGTGGAAAGGATGGCTTTTAGTACTTACCAAGTTTAAACGAGCTTTAAGTCAGCCTGCACCCAATACTTAGGCTTCTTAAAACTGTGTGCTACATACTAGAATGTTCCATGCCCTGTAAAATGCAATACAAAATTGTGAATTGCAATAGATTAGAGGCAGGAAATAAACCATGGAATAAAGATACAAAAACTTACATTATACGTTAAAAGGCACAAGGTTCTCATGGTACACGTCTCCTTGGTTTTCACTTTATGTTCTCCTGATGAACGTTAACAGTGGATACTTAATGTGTAGGCTCTCAGCCATACACAAGTTGTACATCTTCAATGAAGGTTATTGAGTCATCTTCTGTACTCTGCAGCTGAAGTGTATGATGTTCGCCTCAGTGGATACTAAACTCCACTCATGAAATGCACCATAATTAGGTTTTTGTGGTCTTGTGTTTTCTTACCCTCACACGCCCTCAACTTGAGTGAATGTGGGAATTGTTTAATACTACTATATAACACCCGGCCAGTCTCAGCATGGATTTGGTTAAGCCGACTACAGCTTCAATTGTAAAATCTTTTGAACAAATCTATGGAACACTGTTCAATTTCCCAGGGTTTATACAGGCAAATACACACATATTTCTTAACATTTGCCAAAATTTCATCAAGCAGAGGGCAAAATTGGCAACTTTGAGCAAAGAATGTTGTCTATTTCAGCCAAAACTGCAAATAAATATATTTTAGACCATAATTTATGTACACAGTAAATTTTCTATGAAATTTTGATTCAATTACTTTTAATACATTTGAATGCTTTTTCTAATGGCATTTACAGCCTTGATTTTGGTAAAATGTTAAACCCCGGCCCCACAGAAATTGTAATGTCTAATCTCTTTGCACCCTTTATGCTCAGTCTTAATTTTTCTGGAGTTGGCATTGCTTCACATGATTATTTGAAACTGACTTTATTTAAGATAAGATAGCCAAATTTATGCTGTGCCCATGAAAAAAGAAAATAAATTGCAACAGTATATTTGCCTGGGAATACCCATTCTGCTTTGAGAATGGGTATTAAAATCGAATCATTTCGAACTGCTCAGCAGCCTGGAGACCAAGGCCATGGATTTGCATGGATTTGGGGACGAATCACACAACGGGGAGAGACGGCAAGATTATGATGAACTATTGGACAGATCGACGCATGTAGTTTGTTTACAGATCCAACATGACAGCAGACACAATGCCATCGTTTTATCAAGCTTCAGACAGTGTTAAATAGTTTAGCTGGAAAGTATTTAAAAGAACAGCATTTGGCTGACATACGTCATCGGGTCCAATTGATACGATTGGCTATGGCTACGTGCTGATGCACATTAGACTTCTGTAGCGCCCAATAAACAGCTTTGGACAATGGTAAACAACACCTCTCCTACGAGAAAATTAATGGTTGTTTCCCAGACTAAATATCACTTGTTATTTACGACTTATGCAGTATTATTTAGCTTTGTATCCAAAGCAAAGTAAAAATCTATTCATATCTTCAAATAACAATTCCCAAAGTGACCACACTTCAGTTGCCCATGCTTATGTAACCCACTTCAAGGTATGTACACGTTGGACCTCTAGGTTCGTAGGAGCTGAGGATAGCAATAAACACCGCACACAAATAGTTAAATCAATTGTGACTTTTAGTTAAGAAAATGAAAATAGTGCACATACATTTTTAAACTAAATCTATGGGCCCAACTAAAAAATAAAATTGTCTTTAGGAAAAATGTTCTTCCCGGAAATTGTGTTCAATGTTCAAGTCAATATAGTCAGGGGAAATAGTCAAGTCAGGGAATGTAGGTACTCGTTGACTGTTGAACACTCTCGTTGGTGTCCGTCAGTGGGACTGACACAATCCTACCACAGCATCTGCAGGAACGGTGGTAGGACTCAGAATTCGACTGGGAGGCTCGCCATCGATGATTCTATCCCTCAACCTTGTTGTACTCCAAGGCTGGGATCTCTCAGTATCACGGCCTCACAAAAAGACCTGACCTGTATTTACAAAACAGGTTTTATAGTGCATTCTCTTTTTATGCAATTGCAATTAGGTTCTTTTTTTTTTTTTTTTAAGTGTTGTACAACTAAAGTATCTTTCAAAAATAAAATCAAGTTACAGATGGGTAACTTAGTTACATGTAATTAAAAGTATTTAGTCAAAATATAACATTTTAACAAATCTGGATATCTCTATGAACTGTAATACCACATTTTACCAATGGAATTAACTTATTTATGGAAAATACACTAACTTGAATAGTATAATGTATAGACCATATATTGTATCACTTGAACCCTTTTTAACATAAGATTTTTTAACTCAAATAAAATACATGAAATACATCGGTTTTAATAACAAAATAACAGCTTGTGTCCATTTAAATGACTTAAATGCATTTGGTAAAATAAAATAGCTTATTTATCTGACCCACAGTCACGTTCAGTGAGTGTGACTTGGTTTTTTAGTGTAACACATTCATATTGCACTTATTTCAATGACATAGCGTGTAACACCATGAATTCACAAATAAAATACCTTAAATGTCTCTTATGACTTCAAAATAAACTTAAAATGTGAAAAAGTAACGAAAGAAATACGCTAGCATGACCACAAAATGGCGTCTGTGCATATAAAAATCTATGGGAACAGGTGGATGCTAGCTTACCAAGTTTCACTTCGGGAGATTCGGGACAAATAAAAGGGCTTCCTCAACGGTTCTCCAACCTCTAAACGGAGTTATAACCACATTAGAACATTTACTTCACAATGAATACTTTTCAATTACATCCTGATTCGGTTTTCATACCTTACGATGTGTTTTTATCAACCAACATGCAAGAGGAGAAAGTAGAGCAGTTCGTCAAAGTAGAGCAGTTCGTCGAGTGAGCGCCATAAAGCTAACTGCGATTTTGCATACTACTTCCGGGTTTACGGCAAAATAAAACTTCCGGTTTTCAAAATAAAAATGTAAAATAAACTTTTCTACATAAATAATAATAAACCCTTTTAACCAGGCGGGTTACACTTAACTATGTAAAAAATAACACTGCAACATAAGTCAACTTTTTAATAAAAAAAATTGCAAATTAAACAGAGCAATCTTGACTGATCCAAGCTTCACAACTATGCTCTTGTGGAACAGGTTATAAACTTTACTTTTGTTTTTAACAAAACAAACATCCAACTGGATCACCATTATGATATAACAGTAAGATTACGTCAAACAGCCCAATTCAGATGTAACTTGCTGATTAGACACACAAACATCAACTTAATATACGTTAAATATGTCATACTATTGTGAAAAATAATTATCGATAAAATTCACTTTTTCCCATATATAAATTTGGGATGGATGGGACAGTCGGTACCTTTAAAATATTTGTCTATACTGTCCTAAAATCTGTTCCCCTAAATTTGAGTACTTCATCCACCACTGCCCTAACGGTATATTTAAATGGGACTTTTACCTTCTTTGGAACCTTTGGAATGTTTTGGATGTCTTCTCAAAAGATATTGACAGGGACCTGCAAAAAATAATAATACAAGAAATTAAAAATACAGACTGAAACAAGTATATCAAAACCACTGAGTATTTCTTGTATCTAAACATTAGGGCTTGGACTTTGGGAGCGCGCTGAGAAACACGTGCACTGACTATGGGCACGTTTTTACTGCAACGCAGCCCTTTGATCACAGCACGCTGCAGCGGGAGGCGTACACAGGAGAGATAGGGAGAGTCTGCAGCTGCAAAATCTCTCCTCTCCATTTCTCTCCCGTTTTCCCATTTCTCTGCGGCCCGGTAGCAAATACGTCACGGCCCGGTATCGGTTCCTGCTGTAGACCTCCAGCTGCAGCGTGCTGCGATCAAAGGGCTACGTTGCATTCTGTAAAAACGTGCCCATAGTCAGTGCACGTGTTTCTCAGCGCGCTCCCCATCACCTCCCCCCCAAATCCCCCAAGCGGGTGCGCACCGGGCCGCGATTTTGTTGTTGTTTCTGTACCAGTCCGCAGCAGGAAAAAGGTTGGGGACCCCTGCTGTAGACCAGGTACCCAACATCGGCCGCATCCGTTACCGCGCGGTGCTTGTGGGAAAAGTAGTTCTAACACTTTACGTGCAATTTATCGAAATAATAAACATTTTCACGGGCCAACAAAAATACATTAAGGACATTATTCTGCCCCCTGGACGAGTGTCTGACATGCCTTGTCTTTATAAAGCCCCATGCCATTCGTTGCAGCAAGACAAAACGGCTAGCAGAACAAGCACCTAATCCGACATAGTTTGGTCCTTCACTCTGACCAATATACACAACGCACGCAGTCCTGAACATGCACATAACATAAATAAAAAAATCTTACCTTTAAGCGAGAAAAAAATCGAAGAGAAGCAACAATCAAAGTGAAAAGTACAGGAGCCCGCCAAGTCGCCGGCAGTGAGTCCTGGACCATGGAATTCAAACGTGATATCCCTCCGCAACAAACGTCATTGCGGAGGGAATGCATATATATATATATATATATATATATATATATATATATATATATATATATATATATATATATATATATATATATATATATATATATATATATGCAGTTTGTAGTAGTGTGTTTTTATAATGTGCAGTAGTATTGTAGACATTTATTCATTCAGTTTAAAAAAAAGTAAGATATCATCGTAATAAACATCACAATGTTGGTTCATCAGCGGTGTTCTACTTTTGAAGGCGTAGGTGGAAGGGGAGCAGTGGGCTGAAATGTGGCAGTACTGAATGCGCAGTGCACTTTGTGTAATCCGCATACACTTTGGCGAGATGAAAACGACGAAAAAAAAAAATAAAAAGAATAATACTAATAAGAATAATAATAATAATTATAATAATAAATGTATCTATATCAATTAGAAACATTTCCTGTAGATTACTAACACAAATATGAGAAGAATTGCATTGCTAATTTTCTTTTTATGTTTTCTTAGGCCTACAAAAACACATTTAAAAAGCCATGCCAAAATTACTTTTGGCTATAATGCTATTTATTGAGTAATATTATTTGGCCCACTAAGTAATGGAAACTAAACCAATCTTTCAGAGAAATACTGGGAAATTGGTGTCAATTGTATAGGTAGGCTACTAGCTTTGATAATCGTATTATTTTATTTTAGTAGTGTAAACACCATTTGTCATACGTTGTAAACATATCTGTGAATGAAATAACAAACACTGATGGGCTGGGGCCTTTCTGTGTGAACTATGCATGTTCTACACATGTCTGCGTAAGTTTCCTGCAGGTTCTCTGGTTTTTCCCTACGACTACAAATGTGTTCAATAGCTCTCTATTTCCTCATCAGCGGGACTTTCCTGTTAAATAAAGGTAAAACATATATATAAATATTAGGGCTGTCAAATGATTAAATTTTTTAGTTGATTAATCGCATAGTAATGATGAGTTAACTCACGATTAATCGCATGTTTAATTCTATTTCAAATCCACTCCAATTGAAGTTAAATGAGATTATCAAATATAATTACCAGTATTGGGTAAATTACTTTGAAAAAGTAATTAGTTATAGTTACTTGGTACTTCTTCCAAAAAGTAATTGACTTACTGACTGAGTTACTCCACTATAAAAGTAACTAGTTACCAGTAAAAGTAACTATTGCGTGGTACCGAGCTTCAGCTGGCTGTAATTTAGGATAACTTCTAAGTAGATTAATTGCTGCAACAACCCCACCCTATTTTAGTATGATATGTTAAAATAATTAGTTCCCAAAAACACACACGAGCAACACTCGCGCCTGACAGACAAGAACCAGGGAAAATACAGTGCGCAGAGCGCTGAGTATGTGAACGGAGCAATCGCTTGTTGCTGTTATTATAATAGCTAGATCCATGCTTGCAGCCCGTGCAAAGCTTGCACTCACTCACAGCCGCTAACAACAACCAGAGCGGCCACGGAGCAGGCCATCTCACACGCAGCATTCTGAGTGATATTCTTATGGATAAATGGGCGGGTCATTCACCTGCAGAGGGTCAGTGAGGGGCTGGTGCTATGAGACTTGGGTGGCATCTCTGACTGTCACCCCCCTGACCCAGAAATGGATTAAAGGGTAGAAAATGGATGGATGGATGGGCGGGTCATTCGGACATGCGTTAATGCGTTTAAAAATAAATAACGCGTTAATAAAAACTGTAATTAACGTGAGTTAACGCGATAATTTTGACAGCCCTAATAAATATACAATATATGGACACTGAGATTAAATAACAATGGTCCATGGTTGTGCATGAGGGTTTGTAAGCACATTTAGGAAATATCTTTTCTCAACTATTCATTACTTTCAGGGTTTGATAATGGAGTAACTCAGGTAGTGCTGCGGAGATGTCATCGCCAAAATGGGAGAACAATGCACTTTATGAAATGGGGAGACATGGTGGCTTAGCGCTCATACTTCAGTTACAATGTCCGGAGTTCAATCCCTGGATATAGGTTTCCTCCTAGTACCCCGGTTCCCTCTACCACTAACATATGTACAACAGGTTAATCCTCCAGCCAAATGTTTCTAACCACCCCATAGGTTGCCCTATGCAGAGTGGCATTGAAGATGGGTCAAATGCAGAAAACGAATTACCCCTAACGGGGATTAATAAAGTAACAACAATCTTACATATCAATCCATGGAGAAACTCTGGCACAAGGAGCAATAGTTACCTCAGTGTGTTGATGAGGCATTTTTCTCTGTTACCAACCAAACATGTGTGTTAAACTACTCTCTATAGCAGGGGTCACCAACGTTGTGCCCTTTGGTGCATGCCCAGTAACCCTTGAGACTCTTCTTTCTAAGGTGTAAAACAATTAATTTTCTTCAATCTGATTCTTAAAAATACAGTTTTTTTCTGTTCTTGGGACTCAGTACGACTTTCAAATGAAGCTATTTCGATATAATATGTGGTCAATATCCTATAAATAAACAGTGTATGTTTAAGTCTTTAGGTAGCTTTTTTTTTCTTGAAGTAGCCCTCAGCTGAAAAAAGGTTGGTGACCCCTGCTCTATAGTGTGCCTACAGTCTCATCATGAAGGAGACTAAGCCCTGTGCAGTGTATGAGAGAACAGCATACTGGCAGAGGCACATGTACACATCACTAGACTGGCATTGTGTGATTTTGTTGTGCCAATGATGATGTGTGTGCAGCACATTAAAACTCCTAAACAGAGGTTTAGGTTTTGATTTTCGTTTACACTGATACTTTTTTGTCTGCATTTAACCCATCCTTTGATGCCGCGATTGTCGACAAAGTTAACCGTTAGAAAGTTGTGCTTTTGTTTAACTGATAACTATTCAATTTCTCTTCTTCAGTCTATTATCCAATATGAAATCTAAATGATGCCAGTATACTTTTTCACTATAAAAAATCCCCAGTCCGGCCATTAATACAACTGCAGGCCTCAGTTTGGTGAGTAAATTCTACTCACCAAACTGAGGCTGTGGCTGTATGGGTGCTGTCCTGTGGGTGCCCAAGTGGAGGTGTGGTGTCTCTGCAGCGCCTCCTATGGGGATCCTTGTGTCGGTGCCCGGGCGGCCACGGTTGGTCTGCTGCTCCGGGAGAGGACGGCTCCTCTGATGGGGTTTCCTCACCTTGGTCATCTGTACCCAGCCTTATGTACTTGATTTTAATTATGAGTGTGAGTTTGAGTGTAGAGCAAAGGGTAGGGGGTCTAGGTGTGTGTGTGTATTGTGATAACTGTATGGGGAGGGTTTGACGGGCGAGAATGTTTTTAATGTATTCTTAAATGTCAAGCACTTTGCGATGCACCTGTGTATGAAAAGCGCTCTATAAATAAAGATTGATTGATTGATTGATTGATTTGGGTTGTTTATCTGGGACCTAGACGAGTCAAACTATGTGGGCACTACATAGGGCATACCAGGTCTAGCCCATACCTATTTAGCCCACTTGAACTTTAAATGGGCCCCATATAGTTAGCCCATGTGGGTTGCTCATGTGGGGCCTATTCAAGTCAAACTATATGGGCCCTACATAGGGCATCCCAGCCTTAGCCCATGTCAGTTTAGCCCACTTGAACTTTAAATGGGCCCCATATAGTTAGCCCACGTGGGTTGCCCATGTGGGGCCAATTCAGGTTAAACTATATGGGCCCTACATAGGGCATCCCAGCCTTAGCCCATGTCAGTTTAGCCCACTTGAACTTTAAATGGGCCCCATATAGTTAGCCCATGTGGGTTGCCCATGTGGGGCCTATTCAGGTTAAACTATATGGGCCCTACATAGGGCATCCCAGCCTTAGCCCATGTCAGTTTAGCCCACTTGAACTTGAAATGGGCCCCATATAGTTAGCCCATGTGGGTTGCCCATGTGGGGCCAATTCAGGTTAAACTATATGGGCCCTACATAGGGCATCCCAGCCTTAGCCCATGCCCAGTTTGCCCACTTAGAACCCATAAAGGCCCCATTTAGCCAACCCACATGGGCTTTACACCTGGGCCCCATGTATGTTAAACTATATGGGGCCCATTAACTTTTGCCCAGTTTTATCCCATGCCCATTTAACCCACAACAGACCCATATGGGGCCCAGATCACAGCCCATGTGGGCATCACATATGGGGCCCACATTAGCAAACCCTTCTGGGCCCCTCAAAATTTGCCCTGGTCAAGCCCATGCCCAGTCAGTACCCATCTTGCCCACTTGTGGCCCATGTGGGGCCCACATTGCTTTGCTGGCTGGGATTTTAATTTTTTGTCATGAATCAACAACAAGTGGGACACAATCGTGAAGTGGAACAAAATTTATTGGATAATTTAAACTTAAAAAAAAAATAAAAAACTGAAAAGTGGGGCGTGCAATATTATTTGGCCCCTTTACTTTCAGTGCAGCAAACTCAGTCCAGAAGTTCAGTGAGGATCTTTGACTGATCCAATGTTGTCCTAAATGACTGATGATGATAAATAGAATGCTCATGTGTGTAATCAAGTCTCCGTATAAATGCACCTGCTCTTTGATAGTCTCAGGGTTCTGTTTAAAGCGCAGAGAGAACCATGAAGACAAAGGAACACACCAGGCAGGTCCGAGATACTGTTGTGGAGAAGTTTAAAGCCGGATTTGGATACAAAAAGATTTCCCAAGCTTTAAACATCTCAAGGAGCACTGTGCAAGCAATTATATTGAAATGGAACGAGTATCAGACCACTGCAAATCTACCAAGACCCGGCCGTCCCTCCAAACTTTCATCTCAAACAAGGAGAAGACTGATCAGAGATGCAGCCAAGAGGCCCATGATCACTCTGGATGAACTGCAGATAACTACAGCTGAGGTGGGAGAGTCTGTCCATAGGACAACAATCAGTCGTGCACTGCACAAATCTGGCCTTTATGGAAGAGTGGCCATTTCTCAAAGATATCCAATAAAAGTGTCTTAAAGTTTGCCACAATCCACCTGGGAGACACACCAAACATGTGGAAGAAGGTGCTCTGGTCAGATGAAATCAAAATCAAACTTTTTGGCCACAATGCAAAACGATACGTAAAAGCAACACAGCTCATCACCCTGAACACACCATCCCCACCTCAGCTGTAGTTATCTGCAGTTCATCCAGAGTGATCATTGGAAGTCATTGGCAAGCATCGTGAAGGATTATGTCAGTGTGGTCAACCTGAAACGGTGCCTCATGTGTTATTGTTTTGTGCTCTATACTCAACAGAAAGACAGATTATGTACAAGCAGCTGTCAGATCTTGGATTAGCAGTATTTTCATTAAAATCTATTGTAGCGTCCAGTTGAGTGTATAGTTGAAGCCAGAACTGATGGT